ATGGAGAGTTAGTGTCATTGAAAATACACTCAAAACCTACAGCTCTTTCCAATCAGTCCATATTTGGCACAGGGTTGGTTTTTTTCTTTGAATTATACAGAACAATACGTGGATGATCCCACTCATTTTTCTTCTTATCACCAATGGCACCCTATGGAAAAAAATCCCAGAACTAAGAGGTATCTATTACAAATCGGCTTTTTACATTGACAACATGTATCATAAATCCCCTATTATTAGCATTAAGGAAATTTAAGACTTAAGCTTTGAAGTAAAAGCCAGACTTAACGCACTAGATTATAAACTGAACACTGAAGAGACAAAGTACTGGGGGAGAGGAAGGAATCTGAATTTGCAGTCAGAGAAGGTCACTAATGAAGGCAGTTACTTCAGTTCAGACCCAACAAACAAGATGGACTGCCTTTTGCAAACAGCCTCCTATTTTCATGCCAGACAACTCCAAGTTGTGGATTTGGCAGCCTTCTAAGCGTGGCCAAACACTATGTTGTTGTTTATCAAGACAGTGTAAATATTGGCGTGTTACCAAAGATCAGTGTATCTACACAGATCTACCTCCAGAAATTCAGTCTGGAGTTGGACCAGACTAAAATCTACTGTATGGGTTCAGGGCATGACTCGAGATACTCTTTTCCTTAAGACATTTGCAGAATGTTCTTTACTAAGATAAAGAAGGGAACAAGTACTGATATTGTTTTACTGATGCATTATCAGTCAAATAAAAGCTTTCACTTCTGAAGGGGAAGATGCTGAAGACAGTGTGGTAGGGGTAAGCACACAGTAGACAGTTCTGCTCAGAGCACTCATAACCATACCTGTGAAGCCTGCTGCACATTCACTGCAAAACAATCTTTAATAACTCTCTGAGGGGGTATAAAGGTTAATAACTAAAGCTATCAAGTAACTTCTGAAGTTCGGGGTGGTTTAAAAATAAAAAGGAATAAAACCACAGGAGATTTCACTTCCCTGAGCGATGCTCTCATACATACATCCATTTGGTGCGGTGCATGGCAGGCTCTGAGGGCCTTCTCGCCACAACCAGTAATTACCACTGCCAGCTTATTTAAATATTAACATTCTAGAACCTAGTTCGTTTTGAAAAAAGCCAGTTCCTCGTTCTAATGCACTATCCTTTCATTACAAAGATGCCTCCTGCTACACAACACTTTCCTAAGCAAAAAGTCAGCCTGAAATGAGCAGCATTTAATTTTATGGTTATGTGGCAGCGATACACCAAGATCTATGAAGAGTGCCTTGTAGAAAGGCAGAGGTCTATTTTAGATTAATATTTTATATAGTTTTCATTCTACTCATCTTTCAATTAATGTATTCACAGTATCTATCGTTCCTCTAAAAAGATAAATGGTGCTTCCCAACAGCAGTCAGCCACCAGAGGGCACCCCAGGTTTTCAGCTTTCACCCTGTCCCCAATAAGCCCTTTGGCACATGATCCAGCAAGAAATCTGAGAGAAAGGTCAGGAAAAAAGGGATTTACTTGAAACTGCACAAAATTCTTGCCCAAAATACTTACCTGCTGTATTATCGTTCAGTAAAGAATTCTATAATGATTAAACAGACCAAAACCAACCTCTCCACCTTCACAGTACTGTACTCAGCATAGCACTTTATACAAATATCCTGGGTTTGCAACTTATCTGCATGCAAATATAAAGGACTAACAGAATAGTTGCTGGAAGAGGGCATCTTAAGAGGAATTCACCTAATGGCACTAGAGTCATAGAACATTATACAATTTTCACTTCCACAGAGGTATGCTCTGTCTGTAAAACCAGAATCCCAGAATCCCAGACTGGTTTCTGTTGGAAGGGACCTTGAAGCTCATCCAGTTCCAACCCCTGCCACGGGCAGGGACACCTTCCACTAGAGCAGGTTGCTCCAAGCCACTGTGTCCAACCTGGCCTTGAACACTGCCAGGGATGGGGCAGCCCCAGCTTCTCTGGGCACCCTGTGCCAGCGCCTCAGCACCCTTGTAGTAAATAGGATACCTTCCTCTTCACCAACAACTTGTGCAATTCGTACTTTAGTGCATAAAAAAAAGCAGGAAAAGGAAGTAGTTTTCCATGGCACTCCAGCATGCACACCTTTGTTTTGGCAAGAGGATGGGTTGTTCTCCACAAAGTAAGTACAACAGGATCAGAGCTCAGCCCCTTCTGACAGCGATTTCAGAGTAAATCCAGAGCCACATTACAAAGAAACGTCAGCAACATCAGAGGCTTACTGCAGCTGGAAGCAACACGACCAAACCACCCCACAAGTCTCTATATGGATCTGTTGCCTATTTTTCACAGATAAGAATGTAATGTCTGAAAAAGTGTTTCTCTACTTTGCAGTACAGAGCTCGCAGTTTAACCCTTGAAACTCTTTGCCACCAGTGAGCACTGAGGCCAAAATCAGAGACCCGCCAGCACTGCCACAGTGCATCCAATGAGTCTCAAACACCTACTGGAAAGACCAGAGGCCCTGGGAGAGAGTTAAACATCACGCTCCAGCTCCTAGTAAAGAGCTATTTAAGAATCAGGACTGAGGCACGATTTCCAGCCTCCTCTACAAGGTTAAAGAAGGGAACTCCAAACCACTTGCAGTTTAATAGGGCCTAATACCACACTTAGGTATAGGAACAACTTCAGTGTGTTCAGTATGTGGCTGTCACTACTTGGCTCCATCTAAGGTCCTGCACTTAGATCAACTTCCTCATAAAAGCAAGGGGGTTTTTTTGGGTGAGAAATCAAATTAAGATCACTTCCTGCTCTTAAAGTCATACAGCCCAGTTTGAAATGGAAATATGCCCCACATGGAAGAAAAACTCCTACGATCAGTAGCACTGACACAGGATGGTGTCTACAGAAACTAGGATTTAAAGGAAAAAAAAAAGTAGATGTACTGCAGTCAGCGTAACCCCTCCTGCACTCCCCATCTTACCGGGTTGATCGGCTGGGCTGGGACAGGCAGTAACACAGCGTTCCTGCGTGCTTTTCCAGTGAGAGCCACCATAACACTAGCAATTAGCAATAAGCCTTTAATATGCAGCAGGGAGAAGAAAACACTGCTGAAATCTGGCAGGTCTAGAGTGGGTTTGTCAGAAGTATCCTTGCTCAGGAATGAGTGTCATGCCAAACGTCATCGCTCAAACAAACTTATCAGTCTCTGAAATGCAAGTCAGCGATGCAGCGAATCCTTACCCTGGAGGGGACGAAGGCACACCCACACTGCCAGGGCATGGGCTACGATACAAGCCTACCATAAAGAATTTACGTGTAGGGGAGAGAAGGCAAAGCTTGAGCATGCTGATAACTGCTTCCGTGAGAATTCTCTTACTGTCTTCCTCTTCATTTCTCGTGAGAACATGATCAACTTCTTCAAATGGAAAAAGCTATTTTGCTCAGAAAGTCTTCAGACAAATACTATCACATTCTGAGGCTAAATGTATAAATAATTGTTTTTCACTAGTAGTTTATTAATTTAAAATCAGAAAAAAACCAGCAATTCGTATTAAAAAGCCCATCTCAGCCTACACATGACAGGCTCAAGATTTACCTCCATCTGCACAGATGGGCCTGATGTTTGCTCTGTTAAGATATGGAGTGTAATCCTTTACCATTAAACCACACATATCTGCAGTAACTGAAAGGAGGGCAGACAGTAACTACTAGGGGGGATAACTGGGAAAATGTTAAAGACAATCAAACAACAAACTTCATGCAGATATAGTGAATTCTTTAAAATACAAAGACCAAATATATTCACATACTGTATTTATGTATTTTCCTGGCTTTTGTTGTATTACAAGCATGGGAACACAGCCTGACAAAGCTGTGCACAGCAGGCAAACTACTGTCACTTTCTGCTCACTGTTTAATGAATGGTGGTAGAAGGGGAAAAAGGGACAAAATTTAAGTGCTGTAGGGACAAGATATTATTTGCTTAAATTTAGCAAGTTACACTGAATCATTCTCTACTCTCAATATATGATTTCTCATTATAATCAGACTTGGCAAGAGTTCAGTTTTGATTTTCTGCCTCATATTGTCCATAATCATAAGAAATCCTATTTAACTTCATTGTTAAGCACTCATGATTACAGTATATGGGTTTTGTAAACTATCATGCTCTCAAGAGGCATAAGCATACTAGAAACTCAGCTTTTCAACCCAACAATTATTTCCCTTTCCTTTCTACTCCACCAGCAATTTAAAATGTAACCTTGGAATCAAAGCTTTATGTGGGTAAATATCAGAAGGAACATAAAGCAGAATCAATAAAGCTTGATACATTCAGGCAGGAAGCCCAGTGATCCGGGCTGCATCACCAGCAGGCCAGGGAGGGGATCCTGCCCCTCTGCTGTGCTCTGGGCAGACCCCCCCCTGCACCCCTGATCCAGCTCTGGGGAACAGCACAAGAGGGACGTGGAGCTGCTGGAGCGAGGCCAGAGGAGGCCCCGGAGCTGCTGCGAGGGCTGGAGCAGCTCTGCTCTGGAGCCAGGCTGAGAGAGCTGGGCTGGGGCAGCTGGAGAAGAGAAGGCTCCTGAAGGGGACACCTTAGAGCAGCTCCAGTGCCTAAAGGGGCTCCAGGAAACCTGGAGAGGGGCTTTGGACAAGGGATGGAGGGACAGGACAAGGGGAATGGCTTGAACCTGCCAGAGGGGAGATTGAGATGAGCTCTGAGGCAGAAGCTCTTCCCTGTGAGGGTGCTGAGGCGCTGGCACAGGGTGCCCAGAGAAGCTGTGGCTGCCCCATCCCCGGCCATGTTCAAAGCCCGAGGGGAAAAGAGCACCCTGCTCGTGTGGAAGGTGTCCCTGCCCGTGGCAGGGGTTGGAGCTGGAGGAGCTTTAAGGTCCCTTCCAACAGAAACAGTTCTATGATTCTATGATTCAGTTTTGGGGGTTAGGAGCATTAAAACAATTTTAATGTAGATTACCAATACAGACAAGAACAGCCGCTTTATTTACTCTCATAAGTTATCACCATTATTCAAGGAGATCTTTCATTCTTCCTCTAGGAAGTCCAAGCAGGTGACATCTCCTAACTGTATGAGTGGAAGCAATATACTGCTAAGCCCATTGAGAAGACAGGGCTCTATTTCAGCATCTTTACTGCCAAGAACAAGTGCACAACTGAAAATATTACCAAAACACCTTGATACCTCTCTTAGTAAAAGGCAGGGTAAGTGACTCCTTACCATGAGTTACAGGAAAAGGCACTGTCTGTTTAATACAGAAAGAAAGGAGGGGGAGTGGGAAATCACAGGGTGCTGCTGTGTTGGTCCCATGTAGTATTTAGAGCTTTAAAGAGCAACGTCACACCGTTACCAAGGCTTGTACTACCTCGCATTAGGAGAAGCAAAGCTCCTGCAGTGGTGCCTTTTAGACCCACTATGGCATTAACTCCCAGCTCATCTTCAAGGCCAGGGAAATAACAGAAGCTCTTCACATCCTTCAACAAGCCACTAATTCAAAATAAATAAACAAACAAACTAAAAGTGCCTGTTGTCTCCCTGCAGAACAGCTTCAGCCCAGCACGTCTCCAGCAGCAAACCACCTCCAGCCACATGCACACAAACAGTCCCAAGTGTAAGCAGAGAACTAAAAACCAAGAAATCCACCCCCCACCCCCAGCTCCCACAGAGGGGAAAGCTGCATTTTGTGACTACTGTAAGCAACTGGCACCAGTGAGCCAGACTGCATGCAAAATACAAATAATGGAAGCCACCATCAGTGTATTGATATCCAATACCACTGAACAAATGGAAGACAATTACTTTCTATCTATAAAAAGCAGGGGGGAAAAGTCACAGAGGTTGGACAAGCCTTTGCTATTTGAGTCTTCTTTAGCTATGACTACATAGGAATTCATGATGCTCAACGTGCCAGGTACACGTAATCCTTCCAGCACTCCACCATGCTAAAGGCTCTACAAGGCCTGGTAATCTACAGCCCAACAGTATGTTCAAATCCAATCTCTGGGCAGCCCTGCAGCAACACATCCCCAAAATACTGCTCGACATAGAGAAACGGAACTACTTGCATGCTGCAGTAAGATTTAGGGTTTCCTCATTTTATTAACCAGAGGAGATGTGGCACTAGCAGCAACACCACAGACTTTTCACAATACCTTTGCTGAGGTGTTTTATGCCCAACTTAATAAAAAAACCAGCAGTCACATGAGTCCAAAGTGCACTTTCTGTTGTAAAAACGTGTATCTGCATAGAAATTACTTTGGTTTTCTGATTTTTCATCTGGTTTACGCCTTCGTCTTCAGGATTGCCCAGAAGGTCCAATTAATTCCATAAGGAACTATCACACAAGAGACTCAACTTTCTGTATTAAAAAAAAAAAAAAAAAACCCTTGGAGAGGAATTAAACACTTCAGTAACAATGAAAAATAGAGGAGCTCACCACTGGACTGGCCCGAGCAGAGCTGGCTCTTGAGGATGCCCGAGATCCTGACCCAAGGTAACAACTGTAGTCAGAAGGCTGCCACAGGAAACCAAGAATAGCAAGCAGAGAAAAAAGAGAAAAGCATCAGAATTGGGAAAGGAAATGAGAGAGAACTTAGAGCTTTACATCTGAAGTTAGTTACGAAAATGGTTGCATGCAGCTGGACAAAGGAATAGCGGTGAAAGCCAGAGAACAGACACCTCAACTGCTCATCTAAAAACTAACGCAAGCAGTAATTCCAGCTGACAGACCAATAGAGCTTCGATTTGATTCTTAGAATGACAGAATACAAATGATTTATTTATATACGTTAAAGTATCAGTCACAAGTAAAACAACTCTCAGCATCTACACAAAAGGCTCCACTCCTTGTCAAGAGCTCGGAGGTTCTCTGGTTGGCCTTCTTCCCACGTTTCCAACATCATGCAGGTACAAAATGAATCCACAGGCCAAAGCAAGAAACATCCATCTACGTGGTGATTAAAGTGAAAACTGAGACCATCTCAGAGACTGAGTATCTCTCCTGCTTTTCCAGAACCTGCAGTCCTCATCTCCTGCCAAAGAAAGTACTTTAGTCCTTCTTAAAAGCAAAATCTAAGCAGTGAAGCAGAACAGACAGGGCTGACTTACTGCTGCGAGGATGAAAGCATGTATCTACACTGTTGTATTTCCAGAGGTTATAATGCAGTGGAAAAGGGAAATGAAAGTTTCAAGCATCAGGGAAACAGAACTAAAACTTACTCTGGAAATGCATTTTAGGATTATTCCCTCTATTTTCACAGGTTTCAGAGCAGCTTCACACTCAATCTTGTTATTTAGATGTACTTTACAGAAAGATACGTAAGCGTATGCAAAAGGGAGTACTGAAGTTCATTCAGAACAGAGAGGAATTAAAGAAACTTCTGTGGTTTAGCAGACATGGTATTTTCCTTATTGCTACTACCTGAAGGTAATTGTGAACGCAGGCTTTGAAAAGAGGCATGCCAGTCTGTCACATCTCATTTGCAAAAGCTTGTACTGACTCAAGGGCAGAGGAAGTCCAGGGACAGGAACAAGCATGAGGAACTGTTCTCAGCTGCTCAGCCTATGCTGCTAATAACCTTTATCAGTTGATTTCATAGGCACTTAAGACTGTTTCTTAGATACAAAACCACTGCAATCTAAAGAATTATCTACTTCCAAGATGCATGTACTCTGCTTTTAAGGTTTCTTCTATTAAGTTACCTGGCCACTACAGGAATCCCGTGGACTTCTTGTCTGCAGAGACAGTCAGATCTTCACCAAGCTACTGGAGGACTGTTTCAGCATCATTAGTTATGCTAACGAAGTGGCACAGTATTAAATGAAAATTAAGCTTAGAGTACTAACAAATGGTAAGAGGGTAAGCTGGACATAACCCCAGCTACAGTGCAACCATAAGCTTAGTTACTAACCACAAAGCATTACTTTCCAAGGCATGTAGCCCTTAAAGTAAGCCCCTTAAGCAGGGCAGAATGTGACCAAGCCATGTCCTCAGATGTCATACATGAAGCGACGCTGTCTTCACACACCTGAGCTACTGAGCTTAACCTCAGAGATAACAATATGCAAAATCTAGAGCTACGCTGCACACAATTTACAACTATTTTCAATTACAGCCACTTTGATTCCTAAATTAAAAGCAAAAAGCACTGAAGTAAACACTTAGATTTTGTTTTCGTGGTAAATAGTTCTAGCACAGAAGCCTGGCACCATTACCAGTGTTTTATGTTTAATATAACAAGGATGTAGAATAACCTTGAAACACACAACAGATAAAAAGTATTAACTACTGATGAGCCCCCTATTAATGTTTCACAGGACTGATCTATTCTGTAGTTGCTCCCAGTATTATTGCAGGGCAGAACATGGAAGCAAGGGTCACTTGTTCAGCTGGCTGAGACCAAGCAAGGCCGGTTTATCCTCTTCCCCTGCATTCACCTGTCATCTGCTCATCCAAGATCATTCTTTGGGGACAGCTACCCAAATGGCACTCCGTGTTAAAAGTGCTCTGAGGCTCAGAGATGCTGAAATAACCACAGATAACCCCATAATTGTGACAAGGCCATTCCCTTTGAGGCAAAAACCTCGTACTTCAATTCTCAGTACGCAACCATGCAAAAGAAAGTGGAAAGGCTGGATTATACACAGACTTCCAATACCTGTGGCACAGGGGGAATGGGGAAGGAAGAAAGGGAACCAGCACCAGTGGTTTATTCAGTGTTCCCTGCTCAAGCCATTAACAGTGGCTGAAAAGCTTATAAACAGCATTTGGGCTTGGAGGCCACTGTAAATGATTCCTGCCAAGAGCAGAACTGTATCACCCGGACCTCGGAGAGAGCTCTCTCAAACAAAGACATCCCGTAAAAACAAAGGGCTCAGCACAGCCTTGTGGCAAGGATTGCAAGCTGCCTCAGCAGTCCAAGCACGTAACTAGAGATGAATGTTCCAAAGGAGCCAGATGAAAAGCAGGCACAACGGCGACACAAAAACCTGAAGCTGAAGAGCCGCAGCCGCTGTAAGACGCACAGCCCAGCTACTGTGTCAGCGTGACTGCAAGAGGATGGCATCGCCCTGTGAGGACTAACAAGTGCTCAGTAAACGTTCTTGAAAGTGTCTCCTTCTCCAAGCTGATAAAATGGTAACTGCTGAGGCTAAACTAACATCAGTGCTTTGTCTTGAGGCTGTTTTCGTTACGGTGCCGGGTGGCGGCTTTTTGTTCGTTGGGGTTTTTCTGTTTGGTTGGGGTTTTTTTGGCAATCAGTGAAGGAGATCAGAAAGAATAAGCCATGTGGCCACAGAACTCCCCAGGCAGATCCAACAGCAGCAGATGTACTGCCAGGCCCAAACGACAGAGAAGCCCCACCTGAGAAGAGATGATGGCATTTTCTGCCTTCTAATCCGTAAAGCAAGTCCTGCAGCCTCTCTTTTATGAAAGGAAACGGTTTCTACTGTCACTCTTCATACTGTTGCTCCCCATAACCGACAGAGCCCTCCACTCACAGGAGCGTGTCTTCCGAAAATATGGAGCTGCCCAAGACCTCAATTGCAGAATATAAATCCAAAAAACCCCAACCCCCAAGTGAAGCAAGTCGCGTGTTCACAAGGGCCGTGTGTTCACCTCACAGCAGCAGGAAGTGCTGGCAGAGAAGGGATTTTTTTTATCTGTATTACTCTGTTTTCAGAAGAAGATTTCAGTCCCAGTGAAGGAGGGGACTCCTTGCCAAAGAGTTTTACCTGCAAACCAAGTGTGAAGCAGAGACGAACACCCTTGCCGCAGCAGGGCGAGTGCCTAGTGCTGGGCTCTGTCAGCGCCAGCCTGAGCATCCCAACAGCAGATAAATCCCTTCTTATTCTTTTATGGAAGCACACGGAAATGGTGCTTGTCCTTTTGCCTACAGCAGCAGGTTATGAATCTCACACAGACCGTATTAAATGTTGCTCAGCCCAGAAAAGGCTGTGTTCTGGTACACACAGGTTACCAGGGGACAGAGAGAGCAGGGAAATGCAGAAAACATCTTACAGCGCGAGAACTAGAGGCACTATACCGACGAATCCCACCGTAAACGTTCTCGTCATACACAGACGCCTACAATTAAAAGACAGAGTGAGAACAGGACTGGCAGACCTCATTTCTGGTTCCAGTCTAGAGAATTACATATTCACAAGGTGCAGCGCAAAGGAATGAGCAGTACGTGCAAGGACGGGGACATCTCCTGTATGCAACCACAAGCAACGTGCAAGTGAAGATCTAACACGACCCGAAGTCAGTGAGCTGGAAAATGCCATGAGGCACGTGCAAAATCTGGCAGACATCCCCCCGAGCCCATCACATGCATTTCTAACCCTTCTCGCAGCCATCAGTTCAGCAGTTCATGGTGCCTACCAACAAAACGGCTACATCAATTCTTAAACTGTTCAAATCTGTTTAAGCTCCATTCCTGGTGCTGGCAACACGGGGGAAACTCACAGCTGGTGAACATCACTTACCAGCCCGTTTACTAAAGTAATAAAAGGAGAGGAAGATGAGTATTTTAAGACTGGCTCCAGTTTAGCATACGAATGTATGGCTCAGGAAACACAGGGGCAGGAGGAAACTCTGCCTTAGAGCTTTGAGGAGAGAAAAAATAATCTGAGAAGCTAATTTGAAAGTTTGAGCAAGAAAAGTGAAATTTGGGTAGAAAATCTTTTTGAACAGATTTTTGTTAGTTGTTAGACAACAGAAAGAACTGATGTTGCCTCTCTCCTGCACATTGTAGCTAAAACCCCAAAATGAAGACAACTGTCTCCCATTCAGAAAGAAGCCCATGGCAGCAACACAACCCACGAGCAGCGGTTATGATGGGACTTAATGTACGACTTTTTCAAAGTGTTTTATCTGCAAACCAAGTGCAAGGCAGACACGAATACCCTTGCCTTGCTTTATTCCAAGAGGAATAAAAGGAAGGATCAGCAAACCCAGGTCTGTACAAACAGCATTGCCCACGTGCATTCAGATGGATCAAACACCACAGTGTGAAATAAATGAACCCAACAGGAACTACTGAGGTAAGAGACAACATATGCATGGCTTAAGGTGAGTGGCTTTGGTGTTTGGGTTTAGAGTGTTGGTACAACAAACCCTGTAACTTCTGGCTGGGGCATCGCTGTACAGCAAGGACGGCTGAGGAAGACAAGCATAAAACTTTTTTTGCACAGAAAATGAAACCAAAAAAGGCACCTACAGCAGAATAAGGCACCTTGATGAGATCAGGATTATTAAACTGCAACAGAAGGAAACCCACGATAAAGAATATTAGTAATCTGTGCCATAAAAGCATTAGATCTCAACTCTCAAAGACTAAGAATACCAAGCAGACACGTGCATTTCCTACAGGAAAGGAGGACATGACAGAATGCAAAAGCTAATCAGCATAATTGAAGATTCGGTTGTTAAAAGTTGTTACTGTCTCACACACATCTGTGTATAGCAGCCAGAAAGGGTGTTCCTCCCCATTTTAACCAAAGCCAGAAAAAGAGCTACATACAAAGACAGAAATGTGTTAAGATACACATTTGAAGTGTTTCACACAGCTGTAAGATCACCTCTCGTGTATTTCATTAGTAAACAACAACACAGAGAAAACTCAAATAATTCCGAACAAAATTAGGGCTGCGTCAGTCAGAGCACCACAAAAGAAATTACTCCGCTGTTAGTAATCACTGTTCACAAGATGCAGCAATTAAGCTCATCTGTATCCGACATAATTAGGTGCAAGAGGTACCCCAGCAGTGGTCCCCAGCCCAGCGCTTGCAGGTAACACTGTGCTGCCAGTCACCCCCTGCTCCACATCTGCAGCGGCCCCAAGGCCCGGGTGACGGCCGTGTGTGGTGGCACAGGCTGGGGACCACTGCTCCAGCACCGCTCTGCTAGCGCCAGGCTGGCTGAGCTCTGATCCACACGCAGAGGACGATCCGACCTCCTGGGTGACTCTGAAGGTTCAGTGATTCTCTTCTAGCAGCCTGTGAATCACTTGCATGTGATTTCATTTTATGCACACTGATTGTCTTAAGCTTGCTGGAGTGACAAGGTGAGCACAGTTCCTTCAGCTAGGATAGAGAACTTCAGTTCATTAAGATCTCCCTTATTTTTCCAGACCAATTGAGCCAAAAAGCAAGCAAAGTAACTGTAGGAAAGGGAGGAGCAGCAAAGGAAAACTAATTGTGCTCATTTTAAAACAGCTTTCCATTACTCATCCCAATCTTTAAAAGTCTGTTTTGGTTTTGGTGTTTTGCCCCCTTTTTTTTTGGTTGGTTGGTTTTGAGGATTTTAAGTCTTTAACTAAAAAACTTTTGGAGACTCTTGACAATTGGTCCAAATTCAGTCCTAAGTGCAAGAGGTTGTTATTCTCCACATGAAGTCAGAACAACAAGTCCAGGCCAGCTAAAGCCAGAGGGAAACAGACCCAATTTCCACTTTGGGATGAAGGCTGAGATGTGGAAGCATAGCCGCTGTTGTGGAGACCCAGATCAGAGTAGTACGAAGCCTGCGTTAATAACAAAAACAGAAAAACCACAACCAAACCTTGAGAACTCAGCTTCATAACGTGACAGACTTTCTAAATTCCTTTAAATGGGAAGCAAAAAATAAATTAGGTGATTACAAATGGCAAGGATTCAAAGTGGTCACAGAGTTAAAAAGAAGAGATAAATGCATTACAGATGTGAGGGTGTGTGAAAATCATGTACCTTTTCCATTCGTAAGGCAGAGATAAAAGGGCCTTTCCTCTGGCATCTGCACAAAACACCCACTTGGTTTACCTTCCACTGAAAAGGCTCTAGATCCTCACTTTCTCTCCTCCTCCCTTACTGCTATGACCCAGTGAGAGACCCATGCAGGGACACGCTTTGTAAGGGACTTCAGGAGCATGTATGCAGTTCATGCACCTAAGGTCATTCATCCTAACTTCAGTTAAGTGAAGCTGGAGAGGGGCTTTTTACAAGGGGTACAAGGGGGAATGGCCTTAAACTGACAGAGGGGAGATTTAGATTAGGTATGAATTAGGAGGGTGCTGAGGCGCTGGCACAGGGCACCCAGAGAAGCTGTGGCTGCCCCATCCCTGGCAGTGTTCAAGGCCAGGTTGGACACAGGGGCTTGGAGCAACCTGCTCTGGTGGAAGGTGTCCCTGCCCGTTGAAGCGTTTGGTCAGTGGAGACTGTCACAGATAACATATGGCAGTAGGACATTCTCCTTGTCCTGTCCGTACATGCCCTTGTCAGAAGCCCCTCTCCAGCCCCTCTCCTCTTCTTGTCAGCTCCTTTAGGCACTAGGAGTTGCTCCAGGGTCTCGCCAGAGCCTTCTCCTCTCCCGGCTGAACTATACATATATTATATTTTTTTTAATAAACTATAGAAGACATAATGCTCAGCGAGCCAACAGAATCAAAGCAATGCAGCAAAACAATGAAGACTTTGCATTCTCCCTATGTTCAGAAAAAAGGGAGCCTAAAAGCACATCTAAAAAGTGATGAAACAGTTCCTCTGCCGTGCTGGGGACAGATGCAGCCCTGAGCTAAGCAGGCAGAGTACAAAGCTACAGAGGAAGGTGTGCTTAGGAGTGAGCACAAGCTGCCACAGCCAGCACGCAGGGCCTTGCATCCCCACCCTCATGAAATGACTTATGTGCTCGCTCAGCCTCCTCTGACTGGCCCTGCTACCACACACGAGCTGCAAAGGGATTTTCAAAGCCTCCCAGGCACTGTTTAAGATTTGTTTTCCCATGGGCACGCTGGTGGGAATGGCTGGTTGATCTGAAAGATCTCCACTCCTCTTTGTTCTCTGCTATGCTCCAGAGCTCTCCTTTCACAGCTGTTCTCGAACACTCTACTTCTCCAGCTGTTTCTTACAGGGGTCTAGACAACCAAGATACTCTGCTTTCAGTAGTCAGCTATCATTCAACTTTCTTCCAAGACCTTACTAATCCTTGCATCATCCCTATAAACCACGTAAGGGTTAACTCCATTTACAAATGAGGGGAATCTGTGGCAAATTAAAGTACTTGTTTGCTCTTGACACTGTGGACTTCCTTCACTGCAAACAGATTTGTGGATAAAACACAACAGCTACAGCTATTGTGAGGTAAATAAACCATTGTCCAACCTCAAAAAAAATAATAATAAATAATTTTTTCCCTGAACGTCCATAAAATAAGACTTTCACTGCAAAGAAACCAGAACACACTGAGCTTAAAGAAATGATGTTCATTCCCACGCAGAAAGCTTGTCAGCAGCTGGACTACCCTAGGCACATGGCATTATTCCTATTTAAGGAATCAACCTGTGGTATGGCAAGTACCGTGTCCAAAGGCTCTTCTCCACATGGACAAGGCTCCATTCTGTGCCTTAAAAGTGGACATCTGTTTTGAAACAACTTAGCAGCAGACTCATCCCCTCTTTGCAGACCTTAAAAATTTTCATCCTCTTAGTTTTTCATTGTCACTTTGACCATCTTCAAGGTTAAGCTTGGGAGAGAGCATTCCTACAGGTGAATCCCAGCCAGACTGGCAACAACTGGTTTGGAGTTTCAGCTGTTATTCTAAGTTACCCCCAAACTTCCTTCCCCCTTCTAAGTTATGATTAATCTAAATTACACTTAGTAACAAAAACTACAAGGAGCTAATGCTGCCACTGTATTGATGCTCCACATACACTAAACCTCAATCCTGCAAACCCTAATACTGAGCTGATTTTAAATTATTTAAATTGAAACCAAACAATTTCTTTTCCCTGGATGACTTTCTTACAGACACTTTGCTCTTCCTGCAGTACTCAGAGCTCTGGAATATGTCACTAAAGAATAAGAACATCATTTATCAGAAGTACTATATAACAAAGTTCCTTGAACTTGGCAAACAGTTCAGCAAATGTGGAAACACCAGGACATACCATTTTCTTAACAGTTTAAGCAACAGTATTTTGTTGTTTCTTACCCACATATGCAAGCATAAAACTTTATGGAAGCAACAATTTAGAATGGACATGAAATATAAGGACCCAGTTCACTATTTACACAAGCGCCTGCTTAACTTCATGCTTCTCACTGAAGTCTCTCTCGTGTTCAGCATGTATTGCTCAAGCACTTAGCTAAATGGAGTCCCAGAAGTAGTTTATTTTTCCCCTAAACACAGAGCTTTAGTCTGCATACCACTACATTTCTTTAGAAATCTTGACAGCATAAAGATCAACAGGCTCTGAGCTTCTGTCTGCCTCTGCTAAAATAAAGGCAGGGAGAAACAACCCCTAACAGCTACTCTGCCTGCTCGCCAGAGGCTCTGCTGGAGGCAGTCCTGTAAAATAACCTGCACAAACCCCAGTATGTAACACAGCAGGACAATGAATTCCTGTAACTGACACAAAACACTTGTTCTGGAACAGAGGGGAACATTGCGACCCACATACACACAATGGAGTTAATGATAAAGCTTTTTTTGACATGAATATTTCTAGAAATAGAAGTACATCAACCTAAGTTAGTTAAGCAGTAACACTTGCCCTGGCTGTTCACCTCTGTGGCAGTTTCCTGAAACCCTAGGGTACAGTTTAGAAAGGAAAAAAAAAAGCATTTAGTAAAGCAAACTCAAACAACACACATTTGGGGAAAATTTAATATCCAAAGTCCATTTTACAAATGCAAATCTCAAGAGGCTAAATCCCAGGTGAAGCTCGGGAGTTTTCAGTGTTAGAGCATAACATGAACATGTACAACAAGTTGGAGAACAGGCCTTCTGTTGTCCAGCACATGAAACTCCTCGTGCTGGGTGCACCCAAGTGATTCCTTGTCACAAGTTAAATTTACCCAATTTTGTTTCCAAGTTAAGCAGTTCTGGCTTCCAAGTCCTGTTGGTACCAGGCTGGGAGACTTCTCTTCCCACTCACGGCCTAATTTATTTTTCCACAGAACTTACTGCTGCACCTCAGTGTCTGACAAACTGCAAACCCCACAACGTGCCAAGCAGGAAAAACCTGCTCCACCACAGGAAAGAATTTGCTAATTAGCTTTAACCCCATCGAATAGAGCAATGGAATCTTATAGCAATATAAATAGCTTACTAACCCTGCTAGATTTTCTCCTCTGACAGCCAAGCAACTAAAAAACAGCAAAATGTAGCAAAATAATTAATTCCGAGTCTATAGTTGAGAAATTCAGCTTAGTAAACGTGCAATGTTGTATGAGATACCTTCTTTTTAGCTTTCCCCAATTACATCAAAGTTAAACGCAGGCAGTGACCATCTGCCACCTCCCAGTGCGTGGCAGTCCAAAGAGCAGTAAGAGATTTCAGCCCGTCCAGCTGTCCTCCCTCACACTCAAAAGCCTGCCTTCTTGTCAGTAAGATGTTTTCTCTCAAAGAGCTAAAAACAAGAACCAGCCTTTCAGAAGCCAGGCGAGATGCTGGCTTCTGGGTCAGGAATAAAACAAAACAAGCCCTACGATGAAGTTTTTAGTTTGGAAAACTGATGTTTAAGAAAAGAGGATAAAGCCAAAAGTCACCTCGATCGAAACCATCAGAAGCTCAGGTTTCTCAAGCAATTCACTGTTCTGGCATCACTTTCACAACAAGGTCTGGTTTAGCATCAAGAATGAGGAAGCACCCTGTGTATTTGGGGTGAGGGTTTAGTGGAAATTTAATTAGAATTTCTATTGAAATTAAATTCTTAAGTCCATGTTTTAATGCATTCCCAAAATGAAAATCCACTCAACCCAAAGTGAGCCAATTTCCAAGCAAAGTATTTATCACATACTATGCAGTGGCTTCCATGAAAAATCAAACAGATTACATTAGAGACCAGTTTAGACCCAAGATAGTAAAGCAACTTCGGGGAAGAGCTTAGATTCTCTACTAACTGCAATACTACCACTATAAATGCAGGGCGAGCATCCAGCTTCTCTTCTTGAGAAGAACCGATCTGAAATCCTGCTGCAGCCTCCTCGCAGTTTGGCTTCAACCCTGGTTTTACTATTTTATCCTTCCCAGGCTTCCCGAATTCTCCTAAGACTCTTCTTGCTGAAGAATGGGCAAAACCTTCAGCAACTTAAGCCACCGCTGAAGCTGCAGCCTCAGCAGCCCCGTGCACAGCAGTTACTCCAACTGCCCCCTTCATTAGGACACTGAGGAATTCAGTTTGCCTTTTTTCAGCGATGTAATACTGACTAAATGTAACCTCAGATCAGTACCTGAACCATCCCTATGCGGAACTCCTTACTCTGCAACAGCAGGGATTTGTTTCCAAATGTGGTATTCCTCATTTATGTTTACCATTGCTCAGTTCTGACAAGTTCACTCCTTTTCATTGGCAGTATTTTTATTCTAACCTTGCTTAAAATTGCCTTCGCTCCCTTAAAATTGCCTTGCACAGCTAGGCAATACGCACTCCTGTAGAAGTGTCTTCCCCATGAAAAACAGATGATGCTGACTTAGAGGGGAACAGACCAGATGAGATCCTTCCCAACTGGCTGGTTTTCTACCAGAGTTATTTTTCAACTAACTGTGCGTTTCTTCTACAATAACCAGATCTTGCCCAAGGTTTCATTTGATGTCATGTAGAGACACACCAAGAGCCTTACAGTCAAGTTATAGTCACATCCAATGCTTTTCCTTTATGCTCTTAATTAACCTGCTTAGGGAAATTAAGTTGAATTAACATGATTCATTTTCCACAAACAGTTTATCACTTTGCATTTCAGGCCCTTTAAGAGTATTTGTTTAATCTGCCCTGTATCATTCAGATTTCAAGCTGAAGCCCCATAGCTCAGGTCATTTTCCTTGTCACTATGAGCCATCCTCTCCAGAAACTTCTCCAGCACACAGTTTTGAAGGCAAATCCTCCAGACAACTCTTGAAGAGCAGGGTCAGTCTTATCAGACCTCACTGACCTTTGTTCAGTGCTACACTAACATGCTAAGCACCCGACCATAACCTTACTGAAAAGTGGAACAAATACAGTGGTATACTGGGGAGGCTGAAATGTCCAGATTTTACTTGTTCTCCCTTCATGTGCAACTGACCCGAATGTTTTCTGTATTTTCCTCCTGCTTTTAACTCATGCAGAAAACTTTCTCGCTGCCATTATGCCCATCGATACTTGCAGTATTTCTGTGCTTTAGACTGTGGCTGATGCTTGGGGCTTTCCCGATCCCAACCCAGCTTCCAAGTCTCCGAAAATTCTCTGCTGATTTCCAGTGTACTGAAGGAGCCCAACCCAGCCCGGCAACCTCCTTCTGCAAGGAGCAGCCTCCCCTCCACAGTAGCAGCACATC